AAGAAGAAGAAGAAGAAGAAGAAGAAGAAGAAGAAGAAGAAGAAGAAGAAGAAGAAGAAGAAGAAGAAGAAGAAGAAGAAGAAGAAGAAGAAGAAGAAGAAGAAGAAGAAGAAGAAGAAGAAGGTTGCCCTGCAATTGCATCAACGCCTGCGCCGCCGGTTCCTACAGCTAAGCTCAAAAATACTTTCCTTCGCAAACTTTCCATTCTTACAAAACAATGTGTGTGTTGTGTTGTTTACAGAAACAAATAAACGTATAACGTAAATGTATCACACTTTTCATAGTAATGTGTTATATAAAAAATTAAGAACAAAGTTTATCATTAGTATATTAAAAAATACTAATAATACTAGCAGTGAAAATATTTTAGTTGTTTTTATGTTATGTATAAAACATTTGAGTTTATTTAAAATGAGTACCTATGTGTTCTCACTTGTAACTCACTTTTGATTTTAATAACCTATTCGTCCATAGTACGGATTACTATTTGTTCTCACTTGTAATTCACGTGTGTTATATGTTACTATAAGTTCTTATTGTGACTATTTTTTTTGTGTTATTAATTAAAATTTTCTTTTCATTGATTTAATTTTAATTGAATTGTATTTCAGTTTAATTTTAAGAATTTAAATTTTCACTTTATTGTTTTGATTTAATTGCATAATAATTTATTTTGTTCACAATGTCAAAAGAGTAGGAATTACAGAGACAGATTTTAGATTTACAAAAACAAATAGCTAAATTAACGAATCCAGACGCGCAGGTTATGGGGGTGTCAGTTAAATTATCCGAATTTTGGCGTGACAACCCAAGAATATGGTTCACACAAGCGGAGGCACAATTCGAAATAGCGGGTATTACACAAGATTCAACTAAATATGGGCATGTACTTTCAAAATTTGATGCTCATCTTGCTGACTGACATTTGCTGTGGAGGACATTTTATCAAATCCACCAACCAAGGATAAATATCAGCATTTAAAAGCAAAACTCATTAAGTGTTTTTCCACGTCGAAAAAGCAGCGTACTCGACAATTGTTGAGCGAAGAACAGCGAGGGGATCGAAAGCCGACTGCTTTCCTTCGCCACCTGCGAAACTTGGCTGGTCCTAAGGGCGATGAGGACATAATACGCGAGCTAAGAATTCGTCGATATAACGAAGCCACCAGGAATTAACAGAACTATTAAACATGAGACCAAACATTTCATTTCCACTACCGATGGCCCACCTGTTTCATGTCGTCCTCGCCGTTTAGCCCCTCAGAAATTGTCTGCGGCAAAGAAAGAGTTCGAGGACATGGTCAAATGCGGCTCTGCTCGGCAATCGAGTAGTTCTTGGTCTTCGCCTCTGCACATGGCTCGTAAGGGTGAAAATGGCTGGCGTCCTTGTGGCGATTATTGTGCGCTTAATGCCAGGACAATCCCTGACTGCTATCCGGTGCGCCACATCGCAGATTGCACTTACAATCTTGCCGGGTGCACAATATTTAGCGTAGTTGACTTAGTGAAGGCCTACCAACAAATTCCAGTACACGAAGCAGACATCTGCAAAACCGCTATTACTACACCTTTTGGTCTTTACGAATTTCCTTATATGACGTTCGGCCTCCGAAATGCAGGACAAACGTTCCAGCGGTTTATAGACGAGGTGGTCACAGGCCTGGATTTCTGTTATCCTTATGTCGACGACATTTTGATATTTTCTCACTCTGCTGACGAGCACTCCGACCACCTGCGTATGCTTTTTCAGCGGTTATCTAAGTATGGTGTAGTTATCAATTCATCTAAATGCACATTTGGCGCCGAAGAGGTTACCTTCTTAGGATATCAGATTACCAAAGATGGTACTCGGCCACCTCCGGAGAAATTATCAGCATTGCGCGAGTTCCCTTTGCCCAAAACTATTGAAGGTCTACGCAGATTTTTAGGCATGGTAAATTTTTATCGTCGTTTTCTCCCAAACGCAGCAGAACTGCAGGCTCCTTTGCACGATGTCCTCGCAACATCGCAACTGAAAGGACCTAAACCGGTATCTTGGACGCCAGAACGCGAACTTGCATTTCAGCGATGTAAGGATCATCTGGCTGAAGCAACGACTCTAGCTCATCCTGTACCCAACGCAAAACTCGGTCTGTTTACGGATGCTTCGTCAACCCATGTGGGTGCCTGTTTACAGCAGCTTGTCGACCAGCACTGGCAGGCCATAGCCTTTTTCAGCAAAAAGCTGACGTCTCGGCAGGCCATTTCCGCGGCATATTACAGGGAATTATTAGCAGTCTACGAAGCTGTTCAGCATTTTAGGCACATACTTGAAGTTCAAAACGTCACCATATATACAGACCACAAACCACTGATCTATGCATTTACTCAGCGACGCGAAAAACTGCCTCCAGTACAACTGAATCAACTTTCATTCATATCACAATTCACAACAGATATCGTGCACGTCCAAGGCAAAGATAATGTCGTGGCTGATGCGATGTCTCGTGTGGAGGCTATCCGAATTGAAGAAGATTATGCAACACTGGCCAGAGACCAAGCCACGGATCAGGAGCTACAAAAGTTAAAAGCCGACTCTTCCTTAAAACTAGAAAAGATAACGATACCGGGTACTGATGTCGCCATATTCTGTGACCTTATTACTGGAAAACCGCGACCTTATATCACCCGTTCATTTCGTCATGCAATTTTTGAGAAGCTTCACAACCTCAGCCATCCAGGCTAACGAGCGTCTGCTAAATTGGTGTCTGAACGATTTGTGTGGCCCGGCATCCAAAAGGATTGTCGTGAATGGGCACGTTCATGCAATGCCTGCCAAAGAAGCAAAGTCACTCGACACACAAAAACACCCTTAAGTGATTTCAGCTGTCCGACGAGACGTTTTCGCCATGTCCATCTAGATATTATTGGTCCTCTTCCACATAGCAAAGGTTTTCAGTATTGCCGTACAGCTGTAGATAGGTTCACAAGATGGCCAGAGGCATGGCCCATGGTAGGTATAACGGCGGAAGAAGTTGTTGAGACATTTTTCAGGAAGTGGGTAGCCCGTTTCGGTGTACCGTCTCTCGTGACAACAGACCAGGGCCGGCAATTTGAGGCCACAACTTTCCAAGCCCTCATGAAACTTTGTTCTGCTAAACGCATTCGCACGACAAGTTATCATCCATGCGCAAATGGTATGGTAGAAAGGATGCATCGGCAGCTTAAGGCTGCCCTGATGTGCCATCAAGAAACTTGGCATAAAGCTTTACCAGTCGTGCTCCTTGGCATGCGGTCAGCCGTGAAGGAGGATTTGCAGAATTCGTCCGCTGTCCTAGTATAGGGAACCCCTGTGTCTGCCCGTCGAGTTTATTGTCGCCCCGCCACCTTCAAATCGTGTAGAAGACGCTACAAATATAGCGACCCAACTTAGTCGTTACATGGCTCAATTACGTCCGATGCCCGCATCGCGTCACTGTAACCAGTCCACCTTCATATTCAAGGAACTGAAAAATGCATCACACGTGTTTTTACGCGGTGATACGACACGACCGTCCCTCAAACCACCGTACACCGGGCCATTTAAAGTGGTCAATAGAAAAACCAAGACAATTACCATCATTGTAGGTGATAGAAATATCACGGTGAGTTTGGATCGGGTGAAACCAGCGTATCTCGAAAAAGATGAACATCCTTCACCTCCGGACAAGCATGTTTATACCGTACCGGACGCTCCATCTAACCGTGTAGCTACTCGAACTGTGCCACCCGACGCTAAACCTGCCCCTGTCGTAACCACGCGGTCTGGTAGAAGAGTTAAGATTAAAACTCCCTATTAAGGGGTTTACCTTCTCCGTGGGGGGGGGGGTGGCGCAAAAGCCTGGGAGCCAATTCTCGAACTGGGATTGGCTCCCGCGTTTTCTCGCCAGACAGACAGGGCGCGAACACGATACGTCGCATACAAAATACTGAGAGTGAATTAATTGTAATACCGTGCCCCTTTAATTTAATATATTTCGTGCGTAGCAAAATAAGCGTTTTATTATTGTTGCTTCACGTTATTGACATTTACGTTCATGGGTATATCTTAAACCGAACCAAGAAAACCCATATACTCTTTGATCCGAACGATCCGAATTTGACAGGATGAAACGTTTTAAAACTTATATGTTTGAATTTATTTTATTAAAGACGCTTGAAATATCTTTCCTTCTACGATAAATAATTATGTAAAAATCTTCTCCCTATCTCATTATTAAAATCTTAATTTAGATTGTACAAAACTTTTGAGACTAGACTTTGACTTTGACAGAACAGATAATATTTTGATGTGACCGTGTTTCCTGATTTCCTCGTTTCTCGCTATTGCAGGTTGTGGATGACGCATACTCTTATAAAAGCAGTGAATAAAAGTGAATAATTTGTTATCCCATAGGTATCATTATTTAGTTTATTCGTAATATAGATTTGTAGCATAGTAAGTGAACACAATGAGTTTTCTTGGTAAGTTATTCGGTGGGAAGAAGGAAGAAAAAGGACCTACTACGCATGAAGCGATACAAAAATTACGTGAAACTGAGGAGTTATTGCTCAAAAAGCAAGAGTTTCTGGAAAGAAAGATCGAGGGAGAAATCCAGACAGCTAGGAAAAATGGGACAAAGAACAAAAGAGGTAAATGTAGACTTTTTATTTGCACAAAATACTTTTTCCATCTTTTGTTGACATGCTAATGACCTTGTTATATGTTATTAATTGTTGTGTCATCTAATTCATTGTTTCATTACATTTAAAAGCAAATATGTTTCTATTCAATATCCTTAGAGATAAAAATACAGTAATATGTGATGGGAACTATTTAATTTTCTGTTTAATCTTCATTGTTTATACTTGTAACATACAACATCTAACAGTCCAACACTTTGGTACAAGGATGTTTACTTTTTTATCAAGTTTTGAAGTAAGACCCACTTAAATTATAAAAAATTCAACCAAATTACATTTTATGATTTAACGCCTCCAATGTAAATCAGTAGAACCTGTCATATTTTTCTTACTAATAGAGGTATCTCACTCACACAATTTTCTTGCTTATGGAGGTTGTCCATTGGGACGGAACAATGACTCTTGCTTATAGATGTTCATCACTTACCCATTTTCCGCTGTGGTTCCATACCACAACTATGCCATTTATACTATGTTAAATGATTTCAAAGAATACTAGTATTTGAATTCAAAACTTCTATCTATCTGTGTGCTGCCAAAGTTAAGGATGCACCAACATATCCTACATATGCATTTTGTCATTTTAGCTGCCATTGCTGCTCTTAAACGTAAGAAGAGATATGAAAAGCAGTTGACACAGATTGATGGCACACTAACACAGATAGAAGCACAGAGAGAAGCGCTAGAAGGTGCCAACACTAATGCACAGGTGCTCAACACAATGAAGGAGGCAGCTAATGCCATGAAACTGGCACACAAAGACATGTAAGTGAATAAAAATTATCTTTGGGTAGCATTTTAATGATTTAACTAAAACTTATAAAACATAACAACAAAACATATTAAACTTATAAAACATTCACATTAACCTCACATTCTAAAACAAAACTTTCATCCCCTATTATCTATTTTTATTTTGCACTCTTTATCATGTTAAAAAGTAGCCTATGTCCTTTCTCAAGCTTAAGAATAAAGCTTAAAAATAAATTAGACTATAAGTGTGCTGAATTTAATTTAAATTGGTTCAGTAGTTTTTGTGTAAAAGAAGGACAGACAGACAGAGTTAGTTTTGCGTTTATAATATTAGTAATGATGTTTTGGAGTTAATACAATTATTCAATCCGGCGGAGTTGTTACTTAAGCCTTATTATGAATTTAACTTACTAATTCTAGACTAAGGAATGGCCTTAGTAGTCTTGTTAATATTATAAGAGTATTGTTTCTGTCTTTTTTCAACAAAATGTTGAAAAAAGACAGAAACATGACTGACTGACATGCTATGACTGATAAGAAACCATAATTTTAAGAATTACATGAAACCAGCGTGCAACTTGTCTATGCGGAATAAAAAAAAACTTAGTTTGTAGCATACGGTCTACATCTATGCAAAATATCGGCAAGATGTATGCAGCCATTTTGCAGATGTCATCCATCCATCCATCTATACATTCGCATTTATATTAGTAAGATTAATTAGTAAAGACATTAAACATAAGAGCTCTCTGATCACATGATGTTTATTAAATAGTTGGCATTATTAGGAACTAAATGAAAATGACTACATTCACAAGTAATGAGGTAGCAAATACTTAAAAAAAACCTAAATAGACTATGTTCTTTATCTGTGCAAAATTCTATTAAAATCAGTTGAGTTGTTCCAGAGATACATTCTAACATCCATCCATCCATCCATTAAATCTGTAACTTTTTGTTTTAGTGTGTCTACTTCTTTTCCTTACTTTTGTTTTTTAATACATTACTTATTGTTTCCAGTGATGTTGACAAGGTGCATGATATAATGGATGATATTGCCGAGCAGCACGATATCTCCCGGGAGATCACCGATGCTATTAGTAACAATGTCGCCTTCCCCAATGATATTGATGAGGATGAGCTGGAGAGAGAACTTGAGGAGTTAGAACAGGTATGTATTTTGGTTGTATTTCAGGGTTGCCAAAGTATTGCGTCAAAGATAAGACAAACTACTGAATTTTTTTTCCTTTAATGAATGTTGGCAGCACTTATATTTGCCTTCCGTTAATAATGCAAATTGAATTTGAACAAAGCAATTGTTTTTTTTTTGCTCTACATTTGTATGGTAATCCAAACTTACACATCAACAATATGCTCAGTATGTCTAATACACTGAATTCGCCAAAATAGCGAAATGATCACTGCCCATAAACATTTGTATTTGCTAATGCATTGCTTGTTCAGCTATGAGACACTGCTGGGCATAGGCCTCCCCCAAAGACCCCCTTATGACCGGTTGCTGTTGCGGTTGCATCTGGCATTTTTCCAATCTTTTCCCATCTTTTTCTTATAAACACACTCATCAGTCTGTCCGCAGAATTACTTCTACTTGAGTCTTCAACAATATATGTTGCCGGCTCTACCACTATTCTGTGTTTTGCATTTTTATCTCACGTGTTTCAGGAGGATCTGGACAAGGAGATGCTGGGCATCAACGTGCCTACAGACACATTGCCCGATGTGCCTGCTGCAGAACTCGTGCATGACAAGCCTAAGCCAGCACGCACCAAGAAAGACGGTCAGTCAATATAATATAACACTATATGTCTCTAGTGAGGGACTCGGAGCCTACCCTAAGTTAGTGACTAGGCCATAGTCAACACTGACCCAGTGCAGGTTGACTTTACACATATCTATGAATTTCTTCGCAGATATATATTTTTTTTTAATATCATAAGGTGGCAAACGAGTGAGCAGTCACCTAAAATCGCTGAATATCGAAGTGAACGTTGCCCATAGACATACGCAATTGGATATGCGTTGCCTACCTTTAATCGACGGAAGAGAGGATGTACAGAATTAAAATATTTTCCCTTTCCATGCATCCTCTTAACGGAAAGTCCACTTCCCATCCTTTCCTTATAAGTAAAAGGGTGGGAAGGGAAAGAGGACTAAATTAGGCCTACGGGACGCACACTCATCAGACTGTACTTGGAATAGCTTCCACTTGAGGCCTGTCATCTGTGTGGTCGTGGTATTTCACCAGCCGAGCCGGGACTATTCATGTGAAGATGTTAAGCGGGCTCTACTATATGTGCAGCATCATGATGTTGTCCTTCACTGTAAGAATGTTGGATAAATGTACATATGTAAATTAAAAAACACATTGGTATTGAATTAGAACCCAGGACCTGTAGTTTACAATTCAAGTGCTTAACCCCTGAACCACCGATGCTTTTTATATAATTATTAAAATCTCTGTTATTTATTTCAGAGGAAGATGAAGAATTGGCAAAGCTCCAGTCTTGGGCCACATAGACTAACACTGTCTACCCCAAAAGCGAACGCCTTAGTTGTATGTATGTGATATTTTAATAACCAATCGGGAGAGTATTGAAGCTTTTTACTTTTTAAATTTAAAACTTATTAAAATGTGTGATTTTTTTTTCTAAATTAAAACAATTTGGTTTATAAAAGAGCTTATTAAGAAAACTTTAGGATGTTTGATTTTTGAACGTTTTGAATTTTTGACATTGACATTTTGGCGCTTAAAATATTAATCGGCCATTTTGAAAATATATTTTCATTGAAAATTATAATTTAATTTATGGATTTAAAAAATCACACATTTCTTTGTCATCGTATTTATTTCTTTTTTTACTGTATATATGCGTAAAATGTAGTTTAAGTTCCGAATTACAAAAAAAAAATCTTAGACTCGACATAAAAAATTTCACATTAGAATAGGTTTTTTTTTAGATATATAAAAAGTACACCTTGTCCAAAAAAACTAACAGGAAATATAATTTTTTATGTAATTTAGCGACAATTTAGTATTATTTTGGATCATTAAAACAAATTTAGTTGTCATCACAAAAAGCTTGGTAACAAATATTGAGAAATGCAATATTAATATGAAACCAAAAAAACTTGAAAAAAAAATTTATTAAAAAATCACTCAAACAGCTGACTTAAAAAAAATTATGTATTTTTTAAACATATTAAAGTAATTCTTTTTTTTATTAGTATAAAAAACAATTGGTAACTAATATAATTATATGATTGCGTTTAAAAAAAAAGTATAAATGCATAATTCTAGTAAATAGCTTAAATGAATATAAATAAAATTTTGCCTTATGCTTTCATATTTAGTATAAATATTGAAAGTTTTTAATATAAATAAATAAATAGGCCATAACATATATTAACACTTTGAGAGCTACGCGTATTTCTATGACAATCACGTTCAGGCCACGAGCGCCGCTTGTACGTACTGGTATTAAAGGGCCGGTGTTTCCGATCGCAGTATATACCTATAGGCTTTGTTTCAACACGTTACACGCCAAGTATGTTTTTCTTATCGTTTAGCCCCCTCAGATATTTTTTTTTTAATTAAAAATATAAAATAAAAATAATAATTGAGATAAAATTAATTTTTTAGTTCTCATATTACACGCTGCCAGTCACGGCGCTCAATGTGTTAAACGTTTTCAAAAATGTAGTTTCGTATTTTTTTCTTTGAAAAAAATTGAATTTTTTTTCAACGACATTTTTTTCTCACATCTCTTTTATAAGTTGTTTGTAATGACCTATTTATTAATTACAGTGGAAACAGGATAAGCGAGATACCTCTATAAGCGAGAGTCATTGTCCGGTATGGACGACTTCCATAAGCGGGAAGCTCACAGATAAACCTCGCTTATGCGAGAAAAGTTGAAAGAGTTGCCTTTTTGACTCTCGCTTATAAGTTTTGTAGTTACAATCTTAGTTGCATAGTGAAAAGATTTAAAAAATATATTCAAAAAAGTACAATCATGAAGAAAATTATCATCACCTCACTATACGTCCCCACTGAGGGGCTCGGAGTCTACACTAAGTTAGTTACTAAGCCATAGTCAACACTAATGCGGGTTGACTTCACACATATCTTTGAATTTCTTCTCAGATATGTGCAGGTTGCATCACGCGTTCCTTCACCGTAATAACGTCGGATATATGTACATAAAGAAAATTGTTAAAAAATTAAATCCATACTAAAAAATAAAAATATTGAAGTATCGAAAATCATTAAAAAAAAGTACTCTACTTATGAAAGTATAATTACTAAAAAAAATTGAATCTCATTGTACTTTTAACGTGAGTTTTTACTGCGGAGACGTAAAAAATTTTTTTTTTTAAATATATAATAATTTTCTTAATGACTGTACTTGTTTGAATATAAAAAGTTAAAATTACGATCAACTAAGTTTGTAAACTATGATATTCATTGAAAAAAACATTCTCACGAACGTATATTGCCCTCTCTTTCAATCTCTATGTAATAAATGAGATAGCAATATGTCTTTCTACATATGTTTCTACAATGAAAACACATGGTTCAAACAAAAAAACAAATTTTCTCCAGTCAAATTGGCTAATTCTAACTCTAAAACCATGTATTATGGTTGCAATTTGTAAGAACCAGTTTGATTGGTGATTTTATTCACGAAATTGCAAGGAGTTTGTAAAATATAAACAATTTTTTTATATATTATTATAAATATTAAAAAAAAATTATCTTTTTAATATTCTGTGACACTGTGAGACTAAAAAATAAATTTGTCTATGGTCTTATTAAATGTTGCCAGTATCGTAATTCAAAGATATAGTTTGACCAGGAATATAAAACATCTCGCCATATTTCAGGAAAATATAGAACTAAGTTCTTTAATTGATGTAAAACTCGATTGAATCACACCAAAGCCAGGATTTTTTTATTCTTGGTTATACTGTACACAGAATTATGATAAACTCGGTGTTGTAATAATGAAAAATGTAACCATAGTCCACTATGGAATCGTACCTCTTATCTTTGAAAAAAAAATTGCAGAAATTTGCCTCATAAACGGCTGTACTTTTCGATTGCGTTGACTAACCATGGGTTTCTAAGTCCCCAATTTCCGTTTAAAATATTGGTGTCAGACTCACGGTTAGAAGTTGATTTTTTCACAGCTCTAAAGGACAGTAGACCTGAGTATTTGATATAAATTCCATCTTGATACCTTCACGCGTTTCTGAGAAAAAGGACTTGACAGACAGACAACAAAGTGATATAAGGTTTTTTCTTCTTGTGTTACGGAACATTAAAAATATTATGAATTGATTGTCACAGCAGTGGAATTCAACGGTAAATATAACGTTAGTATGTTATTGCGTTTTAGGGAAGTAACATTAAGCTGTACTAACTTGTGCATATTTAAATATATTTTATTTTAGGAAAAAAATGTTTGTTTTATTTATGTCTTATCCACCTTATGATACCTTTTATTTCTTTTCTTTTTTAAACATTTTATTATTAAGACCGCGACTGGCCGCTGATCCATCGGTTGGCCAAGGTACCGCTGGCGAAACGCCGCAGAGCTGGATCTGCGGGTGCTACAAGCTATGGACTGGCAGGAGAAGGCGCAAGACATGCGACTTTGGCGATCTCTCGTGTTTGAGGCCAAGACCTACTTTAGGTCGATGCGCCAGCGGAGTAAATTTTATTATTAACGTAAAATCATCATCATCAGCTCACTATATGTCCCCACCAAGGGGCTTGGAGCCTACCCTAAGTTAAGAGTGATTAGGCCATAGTCAACCACGCTGGACAAGTGCGGGTTGGTTGACTTCACACATATCATTGAATTTCTTCTCAGATATGTGCAGGTTGCATCACGATGTTTTCCTTCACCGTAAGAACGTCGGATAAATGTACATATGTAAATTGGAAGAAAAAACACATTGGTACATGGCGGGATTCGAACCCAGGACCTGCAGATTGACTGCTCCCTAACGTAAAATAAAGTAACATCATTCAACAAAAATACTTTCATTATGATATTAAACCATTTTATAATAAAAAAAAGATTGTCACCCTGGGATAGTTTAGCTTCCCAACAGTGAACGAATTTTGCAAATCAGTTTAGTGCTTTCAGAGCATATGTAATGCAAACAATGACATCTTTCCTATTTATAATAGAATAGATATACCAACCAATTAATGTAATTATAATAATTAATATAATTACAATTAATTAATATAATTACGATTAATCAATATAATTACAATTAATCAATGAAATTACGGTGTTAGAACTTTAGTACGTAAACCAACATAACGTGTTTTTAAATTGATAGTTTCCAATGATGTTAACTTTTGTAATTGTGTCGTAGCCTACTTGGAACAATTTAAGGTTCAATTCACGTTTTGTTTATTGATGCGATGTACGCGTGTTATTTAATAATAATTATTATTCATTTTGCGTGTTAGCGACATTGTGTTGACAGTTCAAAGTGATTCATTACTAAATCAAATAGATATATTTAAAAGTAAGCCTTCCTTACGGTGAAGAAAACGTCGCGATGTAATCAACACATACCTGTGAAGAAATTAATTAACAAAAAATTATACTTTTTTTTATATCATAAGGTAGCAAACGAGCGAGCGGCCACCTGAAATCGCTGAAATAGCGAAGTGACCGTTGCCCATAGACATACGTAACTGCATATGCGTTGCCTTCCTTTAATCGACGGACGAGAGGATGCACAGAAATAAATTATTTTCTCTTTCCATGCATTCTCTCATCCGGAATGTGTACTTCCACTCTCCATCCTTTTCTTATACGTAAAAGGGTGGGAAGGGAAAGAGGACTAAAGTAAGCCTCCGGGACGCACACTCATCAGACGAAACGCGGAATTGCTTCCACTTCACGCCTGTCTTGTGTGTGGTCGTGGTATTTCACCGGGCGAGCCGGGCCGATTCTTGCGAAGATGTTAAAGCGGGCTCTACCACTGTTTGGGAGTACATATTTATGTAGTTGTCGACAACGATTCCGTCCACGCGGAATTACAATAACTTGATTAGTAGCCTATGTGTTCTTCCAGACTGTTCTTCATCTATGCCAAATTTCAGCGAGATTTATGCAGCCGTTCTGAAGATATCTTCTTACAAACATCCATCTATTTTACATGAAAATTTTTCATTTCTTTATTAATATTTCTACTACTTTTAAATTATTACCAATTAGGCGAACAGACACATTTTTTCTATATCTAATTATACATACATTTAGTTGAAATGTATTTTGTTTGTATATATAAGGAAATATCTAGGTCTTCTTTTTCAAAGACATAGAATTTAAAACGATTTTTTTAGACTTAATTATTTCTTACTTATCCTTCATAAAAATAACTAAATTGTCTAAATAACGTATTAATTTCACTAGTTAGCACAATAAATACACAGAAGTTAATAATTAAATTGAAAGCAAGCGAATCCGGCGGAAAATGATAGTAATCGTTGAATAATTATTATATAATTGCCCTAAACTTGTATACGTCCGCGTAATATTTCAAACAAACATACCAAAGGATTATGAACTTTATTTATAGTTGGAATAACGTAGATTTTGCTTTAAACATTGTATTTGTAGGCAAAAATATGCAATTTATAAACAGTATTAATCAAAGGAATTTAGTCTGTACGTGTCAGGAATAAAGTCGTTAATTGCTTGTAATTTATGGTATAGCTTATCCCTGCATAAACGAAGCTGCGTTGTGCGAAATTTCGTATTAACAATAATTGTGATTCACCGAACGCCGCTAGCCTTGCGAGTAGAATTTTGATAAATTCGACTTTCCCTTGAAGGGTTATTCTGGACAACGATTGAGTTACGATCGAACTACGAATCAGTTAAGATGTAGCAATTATTCAAAGTTAATGACTACACGAATGTTCTAATTAGGTTAGAAATTATTAAGAGCTTTTCAACCGCACAGTCAAGCACATGGCTTAAGCGATAGGCTAAGAAGGGGTGGGCTTAATTTATATAAGTTTTTTTTTTATATCAAAAGGTGGCAAACGGGCGAGCGGTCACCTGAAATCGCTGAAATAGCGAAGTGACCGTTGCCCTTAGACATACGAAATTGCATATGCGTTGCCTACCTTTAATAGACGGAGGAGGGGATGCACCGAAAAAAATTCCATGCATCCTCTCATCCGGAAAGTCCACTTCTACTTCCCATCCTTTCCTAAAAAAAAGTTGGGAAGGGAAAGAGGACTCAATTAGGCCAAGTAAGACAACGAACTGTTGAACTATGTTCTAGACTCAATTTAGAGTTTAATAAGAACGGGAAGATGATTATGAATCGTAAATCTTGAGCTCTATCGTTAGTTAGAATCAGAATAGGCCTGCTGTATGGTTCAAATTAAGCGTGCAAATTCATAGCGCCCCTAGTCTATATGAAGCGCTGTTGAGGGACAACGTCAGTCTTCAGTCTCAACGGACATACGCCGTTCATCATGAATATTGCTATATTTGTGAGTAAAAAACTATTAATATTATTTACCCATAATTACGCAATTACTTTTTTTACAAAATTTCTTAATCAATATTTTAATGTAATATTATGGAATTAAACATTTCAAGAGCGTCGGTGGCTGCAGGACCTGGGTTCGAATCCCGCCATGTACCAATGTGTTTTTCGATTTCCGATTTACATATGTACATTTATCCGACGTTCTTACGGTGAAGGAAAACATCGTGATACAACCTGCACATATCTGAGAAGAAATTCAAAGATATGTGTGAAGTCAACCAACCCGCACTTGGCCTGTGGTTGACTATGGACTAGTCACCCGTAACTTAGGGTAGGCTCCGAGCCCCTCGGTGGAGACGTATAGTGAGCTGATGATGGGATGAAACATTTCATAAACCAACTTGCACATATTATATTGTTAGGCAAATATTACCAAACATTTAATTATTATATATAAAATTACAGGTAACCCTACTCTGCATCGTTGGGACATCAACATCAAAGGCAACACTTCAACATTTATCAGATAAAGTGGCAACACACATCAAGACTTTGACAGAAAAAGCGGCAAGCACAATACATAAACTAGCTACAGACATAGATCCCAAAAAACTAGAACAATTGGATTTATTACAAATATTTACAAAGAAATTAGCAAAGAAACCACATCCTGAACTTGTGCTAATCGATCCCTACCAAGTGGATAGATTGAAATATTACTTTGAACATGCACATGGTCTCAAGAAACCTGTATCACATACTCCGATTCCACCAATAAGACATCCACCGCCCGTACCACATAAGCAATATGGAATACCACACTAATAATTAAGAAAATTAGTTCTATAGAGTTTTGTATGATCTCTATAAATAGATAGGCGATTACTTGGAAACGATAGCTTTAGTGTTGTTGACTATCTTTATTATTAGTTCGAATTCACACCACCGTATAAATCGCTACAATCAGCGCCAAAATGGTGAAAATGAAATTGGCACAAAATATCAGTCTTATAGCCAGTCTATTTAATGAGGTCAGTGTTAGTGCCCTTTTGTTATCTGTGAAACATATTTAAAGTTAAAAACTTCGGTTACAAATCCATTTTTGATTGTTCTGATGGGTTAGACAATATGCACGCGCTTAGATGCAATTCCATAGCGAACTTCAAAAATGTTTAAAACTGACTTTGGATAAGTCGTGTGATTTTCGCGCGTTAATTTCATATAATACATTTTAGAAATTTGTTATGGAATTGCTTTGAAGTGAAGCGCAAAGTGCTTCGACACCCTCTCTTCTCTTTTTTTATAACAGAAGGGGGCAAACTAGCAGCGGGAACACCGAGGTGTTAGAATATTTGCCTGTTTTACTAGTATGTTGAAGTGTTGAATTATTTTAAACTATGTACCAAATATAAATATATAATTATACATAAATATAACATGAATTAGATTGTACAAATCGACTAAAGACTTATGAAGGACATTAAAATAAAATATTGAATAAATCCTTTTTATTTTCCTCTATAATAAGTTATAAAGCACATTTATTGTGGAATACATAAAAATAAATATATAATTAACTATAATAATTATATAAAATCTATACCAATCAATACACAATAACCATTAAATAGGGTGTCCCAAAAGGTTACGTGCATAGGAAGGGGGATGATAGGGGTGGTCACAAGGGTCACCAGAAAAAAAAAATAAATGGAATTTTTTAAAAACTTAAGAATTTTACACCTTCTGGGGCAATTTTGTAACCGATGACCTACAAATATTGCTATATTTAAAAAAAAGCTATTATGTTATCGTCAATAACCCTTTATCAATATGAAATAAAAAAAACAATGTAACTAACAAAGATTTTAAAGAAAATTAAAAATTGCCCCAGAAGGTGTAAAATTTTTAAGTTTTTAAAAAATGCCATTTATTTTTTTTAATACCCAGAGGGGAATTTTTATTTAATTTTTCTGGTGACCCTTGTGACCATCCCTATCATCCCCCTTCCTATGCACGTAACCTTTTGGGACACCCTGTATATTCACATAAATAACTATTTTCCAATATCTAACTCACTCAATAATTTGTCGAAAACATCATCAGTATTATCGCTTTCTTTTACCATAAAATCACTCAAACCATTTTGAAATTCACCAAATTCAACCGACTGTGTATCAACCAAGCCTAGTTCTGTCAAAAGTGACAGGTTGTCAGTTTCCTGTTTGACATCGCTGTCAAACGTGCCAGCTGTCAGATCGGGTAACAGCTGCTCGGAGGAGTCAGCGTCATTGTCTTTGGTCTGACGTCTGTTGTTGACGTTTCCCTCCTTTTCTTCATCTGACGCGTCATGATATTCCTGAATTTCTTTACCGTATTCCAAATCTTCGTCATCTTGATTGTCCTACATACGATTTGTATTGTCAAGTAGATTGAACAAAATGTATGTGTACAGTCGCTAACAAAATTGTTAACTTTGGTTATTAACTATAGCCCGCGACTTTGTCCGCGAAATAAAAGACATAATAATAAACAGCCTATGTGTTCTACATCTATGCCAAATTACTTAAAGATCTGTTGAGACATATCAGAGATACCTTCAAACATCCATCCATCCATCCAAATATTAGTAAAAAGTAAGACTATCTTTTAACGATTAGTCCTAAGTTTTAATGTAGTGTTTTCATTATTTATATTACCTGCATCATCTGTGCTGTCGACTTGTACTGGAAGGCATTTTGTGACAAGTCCACTTCCACTGGAAACAGTGTCGAGTTCTCTTTCAGATGTTCCACAGTCTGACTAGTGCGAGAGAGATAGTTGAGTTTATTTATTATATTTACAAATTTCTAAATTTTAATTTGAATATGATTCCTTGACAAATAATTGTTGAACTAGGCCTCAGTCGTGACTCCGTCCGCGAGGTATTAATAAAAACGTAATTAGTAGGCAGACTATGTTCTACATGTATGCCAAATTTCAACAAGATCCATGCAGCCGTTCTGGAGATATCTTCAAACAAACATCCATCCATCAAAACATTCGTATTTATAATATTAAGTAAATTTCGATAGTTAGATTGTATGAAACAATAATTCTACTGACCCTCCATAAGATAAAGGGTAGGCAGAAATGTGAATTATTTTTGTTTTAAACATTCCAAGATAAACTTACTTATGGTAAACCGCCAGACCTTGTATAAACCTCTTGAGTTGGTATGCAACATCTTGAGTCTTCTTATTGTCTAGAAGTTCCAACTTCACCATAACATCTGATCTGAGACGAGCAAATCTCGTTCTAGCTTCTTGTCGACATCTTAAAATCAATCTAAAGAAAAACAATACAAAATAATACATATGAACTGTGGTTACTTTGACTAACCTAACTATAAATAATAGCAATGTTTCTTATAAACAGTAAATTTTTCTGCTATTTTTTTTCTAAAGGTGTATTGATGAATTTATTACAAAATCAAGAAAAATCAAAAAGATTTTTACCTGTATTCATAATTGCCTGTTTCAACTCTATACAATGGTTCCTGTAACGCATTGTATCCATATTCTTCATCATCCATTTCCTTCACTTTGAGACAATAGGAGAGATATTCAAATTTCGTGTCCGCGTATTTTCTTATAGTTAATTTTGTATCGGGTATAGCCTTATTAAGATATGTACCCATGTCTGATAGAATCTGAATAAAAATGTATCAATTTGGTATAAATAAGATATTAAAGACGGTTAACGTTAATACAATACTACCCTACAAAGATTAAGTTGAATCTGAACTGTTTTTTAAAAAAAAATGTCTAAATACACAAGAATTTCTAGAATATTCTTTAGAATAAGATGAAGAAATTTTAATGATTTTTCACAAAGACTTCATAACATTATTAACTTACAGGTTTCAATGTTTTTAACATCTTAATCCCATCTCTCTCCAGTGCCCTGTGGTACTGGCCGAACTTTGTGAAGGCCTCAGAAGCCCTCGCTTGAGGCTCCCTCACTCCGATAGCGGCGAACACATCGCCCAATGCTTTGTATGTTTGTAGTAAATCAAAGTAAGATTTTAACATTCTGAAATTTATATCATATTTTGTATGTAATTTTTATATCTAAGCGCCTGCAGAAAAAATGCTTGTTATTTTTTCAAATTGATTCTTTTGGATTTTTTTTAGCAAAGTAGTATTTAAGATAAATATTTCAATTATTTAAATGTTAAAGATAAGATTTTTTACCTCTTAGCGTTCTCCACTAATCTCTTATATGTATTCTCAGTGTCTCTCATTTCGTTGAGCTTGGCGACCAGAGTATCATTGCAGAGGATAGCTCTGGAGAAACCTAAAGCATCAGCTGTGCCAGCAGACATGTTCTCAACTAGTCTGTGTTTCATTTTCTTCATTATAATATCCAATGATTTACCCTGTTTTGGATCCGCGTGAAGTTTATTATAATTAATCGTTACTTCGTCCTGAAATGTCAAATATATTATTTATATATATAATTCTTCTGTGAGTGTGTATGTCACTGAACTTCTCTCAAACGACTGGACCGATTTTGATGAAATTTTTTATGTGTGTTCAAGGGGATCTGGGAATGGTTTAGATTCACAATTTTCATCAAATATTAACTTCATATTAATTTATTCTAATTAAAGACGTGTAGACAGGACAACGTATGTCGGGTCCGCTAGTTATATATAAAATTCTCATGTCAAAATGTTAGTTACTACAAGCCTCCGAAACTATTTGACCTATTTTTATAAAATTTTATATGCATATTCAGTATCTTTGGGAATCGGCTACTATCTATTTTTAATGCCGCGCGGGAGAAGTCGTGAGCGACAGCTAGTTAAAATATAAATTTAGAAATAAATTTATATAATGTTATAAATTAAATCAAATATCGAACATCATATTTCAGGATTCTACATTTACACAGAAAAATCTACGTATTTGAAGCATAGGGTAAAAGAGATAGTAGTTGACCACTCTGAATTAAAATTTAAAACCATCGAATATGAAATTGAATATGAATATCAAAATAGAAATTACAAAATAAGGTTTTTTTCATTAAAAATCGATTACTTTCGGTGTACCTTAGCATTCTGTATCATTTTCGCGACTTCAACTTTAGTCTTTCCCTTCACACTCTGTCCGTTGACACCGACCAATTCGTCCCCACTTTGGAGCGTACCGTCCTTTGAAGCCGGTGTGTTATCGAAAATCTGTAAAAGAACAAACCAACATAGAGTTCCTAACTTCAAACAGAAAATTACGTAGATAGCTGTTCTCGTTTTTTAAGGCAAAAGTTAGAGAAAATTGATCAGATAGACATGTCAATAAGTGTAGATTTTTCATGCTAAATTTACACTACTACTCATTGAAATAGCATGATGATAGTTAAGTTTTTCTATAAAAATTGTAAATATACAATTGTATGATAAAAAGTTTTCTCTATTCTCACCTGGACGATATACAAGCAAGGGCACAGTGGCGCCCCTCCGCCGATACTAATTCCGATTAGATTCTTCTCATCCTTACTCAGTACTACACTGCCTGACGTGACTGTCATGCCCCTATGAAATTTAATATATTAACATTCTAAATGATCAGTGTTTTAAGACAACTTTACTTAGGCGTTTGTAATCAGAGCCGTCGTAATGTTTGTCGCCTGGACGCTAACCAGTTTGGTTACCCTAAATGTAGTACGTTTAGACATTATTAATTAGACGTGAATCGCGCGCTTTCATTACAAAGTCAAGTGTCAGAATCCTTAATGAGGGGACATGAACATCAACATTTTGGTAAGGCTAGTGTTGTGCCGGTACACCGGCACAGTGTCGGATTTTCTTCCTAACAATACATATCCATTGGCTGGTATACCCAGGTTAAAAGGGCTCTGTTCTTAACCGTACTTTTAAAGTAAGGATTGCTAAAACAACAGTTAAATTATAAAGTCAACTTCGTCATTGAAATTATAAATTTCTAGCAAATGTTAAAAGTACATACGACAAAAGAATTAATTACAGTTGGTTTTTGAGACCAAAATCTCTGTATACAACATGTCATCCCCGGTATTATTTTACTTTGACAACAGGGATAAAGAGATGTTTTATACAGACATTTTCATCTCAGAAACCCACGGTAAGTTACACAACAAATACTTACAACTAAATTACGTTTCAATAATACGGAAACTAAATTAATTTAGCAGTAAATTTACACAGCTTAGGTTCAAATCTACACAAAATTATAGTTGGCAAGGCATAAGGAAAGGGTTTAAAATAAAAGATTTATTTATGGGGTACATTTTTATTCGTGAACATCTAGCGTTTTAGCTTTACATACAAATAGCATAGCGTTTAGAAAGTTTTAGACAGTATGGATAAACTTATTTAATACTTTTCAAGCCTATTCATCATCATCAGCTCACTAAATGTCCCCACCGAGGGGCTCGGAGCCTACCCTAAGTTAAGGGTGACTAGGCCATAATCAAACACGCTGGCCATGTGCGGGTTGGTTTACTTCACACATATCTTTGAATTTCTTCTCAGATATGTGCAGGTTGCATCACGATGTTTTCCTTCATCGTAAGAACGTCGGATAAATGTACATATGTAAATCGGAAATGGAAAAACACATTGGTACATGGCGGGATTCGAACCCAGGACCTGCAGATTGCAAGTCAAGTGCTTGACCACTGAGCCACCGACACTCTCGGTGTCTTCAAGCCTATTATATCAAATAAAATTTTATTAAGGTAAATCATCTAGGTATGGTCCTGTTGTGAGATTTCTACTGTAACACTTAATATTAGCAATTATTTTAAATACAAGGTTAGTTAGGCGTTTTTTATTATTAAGATTATTAGACAGGTGGCTTTGACTTTATTACTTATGCATTCACTTAACCTAGATAATTAAGCTTGGTGTAATAGTACAACCTTTAAGTTCAAGTTAAATGAAATGAGAACAGAGTGAAAACTGAGGAATAAAAAGGGTACAAGCATTAGTAATCGTACTAGCAAATAGGTGTACCTAAAAATTTATTCAATGGTAAATTGGGTTAGCGAAATTTAAGTGTGCTTGATTTTAATCGAAATTATTTATTATCAGCTAAATTAGGTCTAGCACTCGTTGATTGGGTCCTTAGGTTAGGGGTACGGGCCGGTCATTTCTGGCACCCTGGGCGAAATTTTATAGGCGCCCCCTGTCTTTTGTGTCAGGGGAAATTCTGCCAAAGATAGGGTATATTAGGGGCAACGCAGGCATCTTTATATGCGACTCTGGCGCCTGTGATACCGCGTATACCCAGCGCCCTGGGTTGTCCGCCCACCTGGCCCTACCCTAACGCCGTTTTTGTTAGGGTACATTAGTTTGGTTACAGTGTGTACGTGACTCGAGGTTAACAAAGCTACTAAATAACAAATCTAGCTTTTTATCTCGTTTGTATATAAAACTTGCATCAATTCTTGATATTGAAGCAAATATCTCTCCTTTCGTAAATCGTTGAATATGCAATCCGTCGAATCCTGATCTTCTTTAGACGAACTGAAATAGTGTAAATATATTTTACTTAATAATTTAAATCTACGAAACATTCTGACGCGAAAGACATAGCAAAGATAGAAGGAGAAAGACAACAAAAATCCGTTGAGGGCTGTGCGAGCGATGCGTGCGCGCGGGCCGATGGACGCGTACCTTTAGACTATTTTTTTAAGTAAATGCTATTCGTCATAATAAATGAGAGCTTACACAACCACTAATAACCTTCTATGTTAACTTTGTAGTCGAAATAATTTGAGGAAAAGTTCCATTGTATGTCGCCACTTTTTTTGCAAATACGGCATCATAAGGATACTTTTTGTTGCTCTCTTATCTCTGAAAGTGTAACACACTTTCACTACATGATATTATTTGGTGGCATAACAGTATTGAACTCAACAACTTGCTGTATTAATTATCTTGTAAGGAAATAAGAAAAAGTAATCGAATACTCACGTCTCCATATTATTTAGCTCAGTTTCAGGGTTCGGTGTATCCAATACTATAGAAGCACTGACCAAATTTAACATTTAATTTATAATTAAGAGTAACACAAAAAAAATAAACAGATTAATTTTTTACGCCATTTTTAAATCTTACCTCTCATCCAAATCCATAGATAATAATAATTTGTTTTTCCGTTTCCTGCCAGCGCGGCTAAATGCACAGAATTAAAAGAAAATAAAAAACAATAAATAAAAAAAACTTACGAAATCACCGAAAAATTCGAGTTTTTTTTATATTATTTTTTCAATTCATTAAAACCTTTTTTCTTCTTCTCCATAAGTTCACGATTTTGTTAACACATTTTAAATAATTGGATTATTCATCGGTAAAAAATCAATAACTCTACCTTTCGGATATCTATTGCGTACAATTAATAAAAGTACTAGAAAAAATACGGTTATATGTATTTGCGTTAAAAATACCATGCTAAATCTAAATTTACGATAGTATTTAATTAATTTTATATTTACATTTTGTCCTCGTACATCGTATGAAGTAGTAATGATGATAGTTGAGGATATATTTTCGGTTCGAACGGATAAATATTATTATTTTGCCACATTCTTTCACTAACAAAAACGACAATAAAACACAATAAATACGTCTAAATCATTCCTCGAATATTACACAAACAATAGACATTTCTGCAACACAAAAAGGAAGGATATTACGTTGACTTGATAAGCAAAAAATATCGATAACAAATGTATTTAAACACACACAACTCACGTACATTTTGTCCTCTTCGAAAAAATAATCATCGTCGTATTCCTGCATCATTTTTTGTTTATTTTATAATAAAATAACACGTTATAAAAACATTCGTTGTGTTCATTAATTAACTGTCAAAAATATTGATTTTCCCATTTCGTATTTACGTGGGAGGAAGCGTCGGTAAAACAGCACGCATGCGTAGTCTGGATTTGATGTGTCATAATTTAAATCAAGGAGAGTAGGGAAAAGGAGATTTTATTACTTTTGTTATCCGGTAGAAAAAGGTAGAAAAAGGTTGCACCTAAAGTAGTAAAACGACAATATTTCTATTTATTATTCATACAACTTAGAACTATGAATATTTATAAAACATACATACAAATTACCAAACTCTTATTGACTCTAAAGTTAGTGTATTTAAATTTAAAGTTACCAGCCTTTATACTACTTAACACAGTAGACAAAAACGATATAATGCCAATACAAAAAAAATATTGTGAAAGATAACTGTCTTGTAAGGAATGGCGGCATTCGGCAGTTAGCTGACTGACGCAACACTATCAAGTCAGCCAGGCATAATAACCTGATGATTGTGCAATAAAGCCTGAACTGTTTTTAAATGTAACGTTGCGTCCATTTCGCTTGCACGGACAGTACGGTACAGCACGTTATTCGAGCTACTCTAATTTTTTAAAAATGAACAAAATTATTGTGAGTAATTTTTTTAACTCATCTTATCTATAAATAATATATTAATATCGGAAATACAAATCGTGGTTTATTAGATTTAGTGATTTTTTTATTACTTCTATTACCAATAATAAAGTCGGATATTTCATGATGACGTTAATTTGTTTTGAATTATTTTCGTGAATGTCAGTGCAGTTAAAATCCCGCTAAAATGTGACGTTTATTTTTTCCAGCTGTTATTGTGCGCGCTGTTTTACCGACAAGTTTTGTGTGGTGATGTTGGACCTATCGGAGGGTTTATAAGGACGAATCTGATTGGTCATCCTGTCATCCATGAGGAACAGAGTTGGATATTCGATCCTGACGTTGCTGTACGAAGGAGTAAACAGTTTATCGAACTTAATGGTGATAAAGGCGAGAAATTAATTGAGAGACTCGGTTTGGGTATCGATGGATATGACGAAGAAAGATTAAAAATACAAAGGGCAAGAGACGAAGGACATTTGGGTGGTTTAAATGCTTTTTTACCTTAAAATTTATTAGTTTAAAAAGTAGTTTAGGAGTTTAAATTTATTTTGGGTTTTCTAGTCTACAATTGTATTTAAGGAAGTAAAGACGCTGGTAGAATATATTTTTTTTATTTGTTAACAACAAATTTGCCGAAACAATCTATTAAACACATCATCACTCTCTTAAGTACTGATATTAAAAATATATAGTAATTGTTAAATAATTTAATATAAATTAAGTGTGAAACAATGTATTTGCGGTTTTCCTCGACCAAAAATGGCGTTACTGGTGCTCTGAAAAGGTTAAGTGAAACAAAAGAAGGTTAATTAAACAAAAATATCTTTGTTTATTTTCAAAAGAAATTATTTTGTGACTTTGTATTTTATCCTTATACAACAGTTTGATAATTCAATCTTAATATCGGTTTAGTAGTTTTTGAGTTTATTAATAGTTTACATTCGCACCTAAGTAACAGCTAAGTAAACAAAACAATTAAGTTATCAGTATTTTTACAAATGTATACTTTAGTTTTTCCTTAGCAATGAAACTGGCGACCTTCGATTTGTTTTTGCAATACATCTAAATAACGCATGACCTCAGAATTATTCTTTGAAAATATAGAAATATAACCTTTGTATAATGTCACTATACATTTTAGAAACAATATAAGTTTATATTGACATCTCATTTATTTCAAGGTGTAAGAAAGGGATGTGAACATTTTTTTGATAGATGCGTCAGGTGTTTTTTGTCTATGCAATAAAATAAAAACATAATTAATATGAGTGAAAGTGAATTTACTTTTGTCGTTTCGAGATGATCCTGTGTTATCGAACTTAAAGAGATTAGGAAATGTAATCTTTTATTTAACTATTTGGAACATACATTTGGACCGACTATATGCCCATTTATCAAGGAAAACTGACCCGGTGTGTACAAACTAAATTATGATAGCTCACTAGCGCCCTTCTGTCAATTCCAAAAAGTGTACAAGGTCAAACAAGGTCCTTTTCGTAAGAGCTGTTATAACATGTTTTTTTTTTTTTAATTTTATTGATTCTATTGCCATGTAGGTTTTACTTTCTGAACTTACCGCGACAGCAGCGACTCTCATCAGGCCAGATATCGTTGTTTGACTATTGACAAAAGGAGAGATAAATTAACTTTGAATTGTTATTACAACCTTTTATTTATTTTCAAATAAAAGGTTGTAAAGGTTTTCACATATGTGACGAGGCAATTTTATGATCAGCTAGAAATTAGTCATAGGAACAACGCAACTAACATAACCTCATCGAGTTTGGGCTTTGAATCTTGACTAATAGTTGTAATTTATTCTTTTAATTAACATAAATATAATAAAAGATTGTTATAAAAGAGATTTTTACATCTTTTAATTATTTATTTCATCGCGTTACATGATTTTTATATTTTATTGCCAAACTTCATACATGAATTTTTATTGCGATATTAATTTGAGGATTAACTATGAAGGTAACGTTCACGTTTGCTAATTATATATTGGACAGGCAGATTGCTAAATCGAGTAGATTGTTGCATTTTGATATTACGTTACCAACATAGAATATTTTAAAGTGTCTGACTAATTTATCCTTGGATTGGTTTTTACTCTATGTTAATATTCATTTTTTACATAATTCTTTTGCGGAATAAAATAACGATTGATTATTTATTCTGTTGTTACTCCTTGAATACAAATAATTATAGAATAAAATAAGTAAAAAAAAGTCTTAAATTCAATAGAAATTGTTAAAATTGTCAAAAGGCCAACATCACGCGGTGTTCCCAGGCGGTCACCCATCCAAGTACTGACCGCGCCCGACGTTGCTTAACTTCGGTGATCGGACGAGAACCGGTGTATTCAACGTGGTATGGACGTTGGCGATGGAGACAATAAAATTACTCTATCAAACAATATTGTGACTAAATTATTAATATAGCACATCTACATGATCTTTGTTTTATAAATAGTTGTCGTAGTAGTGACTAGATATAATATTTAAACTAAGACATAAGCTTATAATAAACAATATACTAAAAGTAAACCCTACTAAATGGACCGATGACCTGGTCAAGGTTGCGGGAGTGCACTGGATGGGGGACGCCTACATCCAGCAGTGGATAAATCTAGGCTGATTATGATGAAACCAAACTAAATATAAAACTAAATAATAATAAAAGTAATCTAATGGTTCTAGCACATTTTAAATATATTATTGGTTTTATTATTTGCCAACAGATGGAGGTAAAAATAAAATAACATTTCAATTTGCTAATTATTTATAATAGGAGTGGAGGATATTTATTATAATAAATGGATTTTTTCCGAAAGATCACAGAATACATCTAGAAATAAATAGAAATTACTATGCCAAAGCCTATCTAAAAGATTAATATTTTCTTAATTACCGTAATTTTCTTAGTAACATTTTAACATTTAAAATGATATTAATTGAATTTAAAGCTCCCTTATGATAAATTTATTGCAATGTCATTTAATTTTTAGATTGTAATATTTACAATTTTCTTATTTACAAGGTGCTTAAAGTTTTTCTTCCACACACTAGATGACGCGAATTTGTAATCGGTGAAAATTATATTTTCTGCGTTAACGCCATCTATGAGTGTTTATGGAAACGAAATATTTGCTTTTACTATGTTTTTAATTGACTGTAGGAAGCGTAGGATTTTTCTTTAATTTTTAACGAAATTTGATTTTGTTGTTTTAAAATTAGTTGTATAAAATGTAAATAATGCATATTTTATACCAAAAATACGATTATCTTGTCGCCAACGTCCATACCACGTTGAATACACCGGTTCTCGTCCGATCACCGAAGTTAAGCAACGTCGGGCGCGGTCAGTACTTGGATGGGTGACCGCCTGGGAACACCGCGTGATGTTGGCTTTTTGCTGATATTTTTTATTACGGACGATTGCAATTTTAATTGAAATTTTTCACATAATGTACACTCATATCTAACTATAAAGGAACAAAAGCTCTCTAAAAAGTCAATTTCTTTTTACTTTTATCAAGATTTTTTTTATGTATTTTGTATTTGCAATAGGATTGATCAATATTCATTGTGTATAATTAAACAAGTGGTCGAGTGGTTTTTTAACTATTTATTGAATAGTTACTTAAGTATTGAAAATAAGAAAAATAGCCCGCGTTCTCGTAGCACACTTATATGCAATCAATCTCTAATGCACCATTATTGCCAGCACAGGAAAAACGTTTATAATAATTTGAATGTTGCCAATACAAAAAGAAATTAATAAGAATGAAACAAAATAAATAATTTATGTGAATTAATTGAACAATTGGGTTATAAAAAAACAACAGTTCAATATTATGTCGTTTATTTCTTAAATTCTTAAGATGTTACATTGTCAAGAAATATTCTATTAAAACTTAAATTTAATGACGAAAAGTTAAAACACATTATTGGAATAGGACAACTAGCTAATTTCTAGACAGAAATATATTTAGATAATTTTGTGGTAATGCTTATTAGTTATCACACAAGAATGTCACGTAAAAAAAAACAACAAACTCTTTATAAAATGATTATTTTACAAGAGTGACAGATTTTACATTATTATGTCTGGGAAATTGTGTGCACCTAAAAACGTTAAGTTTTGTTTTCCATTAAAAGATTCTTTTAAATCTATTAAACATATAAAAAGTCTGTAGTGTATGCATAAACGTAGTGTTGTTTGTCTCGAGCGTACACGTCAAAAGTACATGCCGGAGAGGGGGGACGTCAGTCGATGGACCTTTGGACCGGTAACACGTGTCGATACATAAACGGGTCAAATAAACGCGACTCATTTTTCCAGAAACATAAATCGGATATTAGAAAATTTGAATTTAGGTAATAACCAATCACCTAGATTGTTCCATATTGTTTTTTTGTATTATTCTCTATCTCTTTCTTTATTTTTAAATCCGAAAGGGATAGGAACATTATTGAAAAAAGCATTTTCTTATTACCACACAGACCAATTGTTTGATATATCTGTCGAAGACTCAAAATAGTTTAACGGTATTTTAAGACTCCGAGAGATTTATCATTTAAATAATATACACTTATCTATTATGATGTATAATTTTAGACAAATCTAGAAAAAAAATTGATTGACCGTAGATTTCTGAGACCAAAATCTTTCGTTTAAAACATATTGTTATCTCTCTTTTGTCTAAGATAATAACAAGGATGACGATATGTTTTATACAGGGGTCGTGAAATTAGGCTCGTGATTACTTGAATTAAATTTTGAAAATATTTTTTGTAAATTCATCTAAAATTATAATTTAAAAAGAAATTATTATAGAAAAGAAATTGTCATAAATGCATTATTATATGAAAAATGGTTTATCATTTAAAAAAACTAAATATATTGTGACTGTTTCTCTTATAATAATAATAATTTTTAAAGTAAATAATTAAAAAAAATGAAGATTTGCTGCGTGTAAAAAGAAATTTTATTTAGTAAGGCACCTTGTGTTTTTGGTTTTAATTACTGGTTTTATAAACAAAAAGACCGTACAATAAAAAAAAGTAAAATTATTTTGTGACATGATTTGAGACTGAATTTAAGTGGAATTAAAACTTGTTGCTTCAAACGCCATCTTTCGTCTTAAAGTTGAAACTGAGTTGTGATTTTGGGTTCATTTACTTTTAAATAGAGAGTACAAATATTTTATTAAATATACCAATTCTAGAGAAACTGGTATTAACTTATTATTATATTCTTACATTCTAATACGAACACCAAAGAAAAATTACCGTAATATGGCATTAAAATCATAAATAACGATTTATAATTATTCATAAAGAGATCAAATTACATTTTTTATATAGAAAATTAGTTTGTGTAATTTATTTATTATCTTATTGCAGATTAAAAAAAAGTAATGTTTTAGCTTAAAGTTGAATTTATCGCAAATGTCAATTAAATTCTGGTAATTGGTTTTTGAAGATCAGCGCCATCTCTTGTTGGTTTCCTAAATCTATTATTATAATATTTTAAATATTAATTGCAAAAGTGTTCATGAAAATCAATTATTAATTATAAACATATTTTAATCTGAAAAAGGCTTGATATTTCCCTGCTTATACAGGCTTGATTTTTGAATTATCAATAACAGACAAGTGGCGCCATCTATTACCGAGTTTCTGAAACTATTATAATTCGTTATTTTCGTCACTCGTTGATGTTTCGAATTCGTATCTTCTTTTTCTTTTGGGTCAACAAAACGTGTCTTCATTACGTAGTGGACATCGCGGACCTGGAATTTAGAATAATTAATATTAATAAACAATCAAAAATGTCAAGGTAAAAAGATTTGAAATTAAAACCTGAGACATTTTAATATTTCATAAACTATTTTTTTTTTAGTTTTATTCTAGAGAGATTTATAACCATTTATAAACGGAATAATAAGTTCGTTTTAAGAACGATAATAAAGTTACAAAGTAAAGTAAATAAAGCCTGTTTTTTTATATTACTAGCTGTCGCCCGCGATTCCGTCCACGCGGGTGTAAAAAAAACCATAGGTCGCAGCGTAATGTTATATAGCATGAAGTCTTCCTTTATAAATGGACAATCCAACAAAAAAAGAAATCGGACCAGTAGTTTCTAAGATTAGCGCATTTAAACAAACAAACTTCTACGCTTTATAATATTAGTATAAATTTCAGCGAGATCCGTTGAGCCGTCCCGGTGATACCTTGTAAAAAACAAACATCCATCCATCTAAACATTCGCATTTATAATACTAGTAAAATTAATCTATTTATCTATACATTTGTATATATATTTGGAACAATATCTATGACTTTATCTATTCTAAAGAATTGTTATCCTAAAAAAAAAACAAATAAATTTCAAACCTAATTTATATTACGGTTTTGTGAGGCGTGTCCTAAGGTCAGTCGACCAGTCAAAGTGGGACATATATTTTTAAAAGATAAAATCTCGTCCACTCGCAAAGTTGAACTGGGTCGTTTGAAAATTAGATGGACGTCTATCACACAGTTAAATTAAATTATTGTTATTTTATTTACGAACAGACAAGTTACTCTATTGGTAAAGATGTCATTCAAGATGATGTATATTTAATATAAGAAGAAGCAAAAAACAAGGGATTATTTGATGTCAAAAAATATCTTTTTTGACTATTAATATACGTAAGTATAACAAAATTATAAGAAGTAAGAAAGGAATGTGAAATAAAAAAAGGTTCCATTCTTTAGCAACCCTAAAATTTTCCTTAAAAAATCTAATAAAACCTTATTTCTTACAAATATTATAAATGCGAATGTTTAGATGAATGTTTGTTTGAAGGTATTCGGAACGGCTTAACGTATCTTGATGAAATTTGGCATAGATGTAGAATATAGTCTGGTAGAACACATAGACTACTTAGTAAGTTTTTTTTTATCCACGCCGACGGAGTCGCTGGCGACAGCTAGTTTATAATTTTATTCGCATTTCTGTTATAACATTAATTCTGTTAAGCGTGTGAATCGTAACGCATTTAATATTTAACAGTTTTAGGACATATTAATTGATTTACGTTACATTACGGTGTGATAGGCGGCCGGGTTATCCTACATAACGGTTTGTTCGAGTTCCTTTTTCGGACTGTGGGATCTTACTATCTGGTTGGACTGATTTGTAGTCATCGTGGTTAGATCTGGGGCTTTGATGTAACATAAATAAGTTTATATTTTGATTTTAAGAACATTATATTGAATACTAGGTGTCGCCCGCGACTCCGTCCGCGTGGTAAAAAAAAATTAGTAGTCTATGTGTTCTTCCAGACTATGTTCTATATGTATGCCAAATTTCATCGAGATCCGGTCAGTTGTTCTAGAGATAACTTCAAACAAACATCCATCTATACATTCGCACGCAAGAGCTTGTCTTACTAATATTATAAATGGAAATATATCGATGGATGGATGGATAGATGTTTGTTAGAAGGTATCTCCAAAACGGCTGCATGGATTAATCTGATATTTGGTATACATATAGAACATAGTCTGGAAGAACACATAGACTACTTATTAAGTTTTTTTTTTAATTCCGCGCGGACGAAATCGCAGGCGACATCACCCTTTATAAAAAAAACTTTTCCTCGACTATTTCATATTCAATTAAATGTTATTGTACTTCACGCCGGTTTTTTTAAGCTCCTTTTACGTCGTCGGCCATAATTCTAAGGTGCCTGTTCTATACATTATTCAACCATTATTTATAGACGCGACAACGAACTGGACTGGAAAGAAAAAAAAACTGGATATCAAGATTCTTTGTATATTTAACGATGAATAGGAAAATAGTGTTTTTATTTATGAATGTCAGATTTATCGCGGGATTTAAAGGTAAGAGAATCATTCCGTGTGTACCTCTCTACTGTTTATTAAAGGTATCTACCGCGTATGTAATTTTTAACTAATTCTAGCTGTCTATGGAAGTTGTTTCGTTATTTTAGCGACATCAAACCTTTTGGTAGTTTGCAACATACTAAACATATTGTTAGGAAGAAAATTCGACATTGTGCCGGTGTACTGGCCCAACACTAGCTTGACTAAAATGTCGACGTTTATGTCTCCTCACTAATCAAACTGACAATTGTCTTTGTAGTGAAACCCAAAGGATTCTAACTAATAATGTCTATAAATATGAATGAAATTGCAATGTCTATAGAAAATATAGAAAAAATATTCACATTTCGTAAACTTATATATTTGTGTTGCTGATAAAACAAACCAAATTTTTTGTCTGTCTCTCCGCTTGTCTGTCTGTCTGTGATTCACGCGGGCATATTATAAGATACTTCTTTTTAAATCTTCGCTGACGAAGACGCGGGCGACTGCTAGTATGCTATTTATTTTTATTTATGTTGTGACGTCATTATTAATAATGCTGGCTGAATACTCATCGCTGACCTTTCAATTGTTTAAACCATTAAAAAAAAATCGCTCAACTCTGATTAGTTTGGGTGCGGTTCGTGTCGTGTCTGATAAAGGCGAGGCATCGCAATTAGTCCCCAACGTAAATTATAATGAAACATGGAATCGCCCTTGATATTTTGCATGTTTATGATAATCCTGATTCATAAATCTATTTGTGTTTTAATATATTGAATACTAGCTGTCGCCCGCGTCTACCTCCGCGCGGAATTAAAAAACCTCATTAGTAGCCTATGTGTTCTTCTATAATACACTGTTCTACATCTATGCCAAGTTTCAGCGAGATTGCAGCCTTCTAAAAACATCCAAATACACATTTTATCTTATTAATATTATAAACGTGAGTGTGGATGGATGGATGTTTGGTTGAAAGTATATCCAGATATAAGAGCGTCGGTGGCTCAGGGGTCAAGCACTTGACTTGCAATCTGCAGGTCCTGGGTTCGAATCCCGCCATGTACCAATGTGTTTTTCCATTTCCAATGTACATGTACATTTATCCGACGTTCTTACGGTGAAGGAAAACATCGTGATGCAACCTGCATATGTCTGAGAAGAAATTCAAAGATATGTGTGAAGTCAACCAACCCGCACTAGGCCAGCGTGATTGACTATGGCCTAATCACCCTTAACTTAGGGTAGGCTCTGAGCCCCTCGGTGGGGATGTATAGTGAGCTGATGATGATGATATCCAGAAAAACGGATTATCACGTTTCAACGGATCACGGAACTTAGTCTGGAAGAACACATAGACTAATTAAGTTTTTTTAATTCCGCGCGAACGGAGATGCGGGCGACAGCTATAACACTAAGATGTAGCTATTCTAATAATAAAATTTAACGGTTGACTTTGAAATTGACAAATAACTCCATTTAAAGTAAATAATAAATGCCTCATCACTATAAAACTCACCATAAATGTATTTTTAATTACATTCTTGCGAGCTTAACGAATAATTCTAATTATTTTAATATGTAACCCATGAAGGTTGGACTTCTATTAATTAGACATGCAAATTGTAGCTAGAGTTAACTTTCTGCATCGCACTTGACAGAAGGAATGATAATTACTAAAGTAATTAACCGTACCCATTAATACTTTATTACATTGCGGTATTCAAAGTTTTTAAACGAATTTCAAAATGGCGTCCGCATCGTTATGTCAAGCGAAATGGCGTCCAATAACAGTATGGCTGATTGGTTATTATTATTGTCTTAATTTTAAACGTATTCGCCTTTTATTATTTTTTAATTAAATTGGAATATTTTTTTTATAAAATTAATACGCGACTCCGTTCGCGTGAAATTAAAAAAAATGTCCTATGTGTTCTTCGAGATTATGTTCTACATCTGTGTCAAATTTCATCACGAACCGTTGAGCAGTTCCGAAGATTTTTTTATAATATTTGTTTTAATTTAAATCATATAAAAGATATCGCGTTTTTATTCATAAGAGAAAAAAAAACTCCACAAAACATCCTGGAGCCGGTTTGTTAATAATATATTCTAGGTCTAAAGTTAGACAATTAACGCAATAGATGCTTTAGTATTTCTTCATCAAATGCCTCGTATGACATATCACGACATGAACAAAATGCCGGCGACGCACTCGACTGTGCAACTGAATAAAACTATACATCATAGTAAAGTAAAAGTTAACAGCATAAAGTCTAATTAATTGTTAATTATTAGTACCTAAGTAAACTTCATGAAGCTTATTTTACTGCTGCTATGCAAGGAAGATTGAGAATGACAACCACTCTAAAGCTGTTAGGCCATAGGATTATGTAGAAGGAATAAGAATATATCCCCAAGGTTCTTTGAGATTTCAAGAACTTTTAAAAATAAAAAGTTGTGGACAAAAATGGATCGGAATTGAAACCCATTGTAAGAAAATTTTAGGTCTTAAGTGATTGAAGATATTAGCAAAATACTCCCCAATTAAATATAAAGCGGGGAACAAAATTGAATACCAAAATTAACGATCTTACCGTGGGTTTCTGAATCCACCAGTATAAAACTTATTGCTATAACTGTGTTGTTAAATTTAATGACAGGGACAAAGATTTTATACAGAGAATTAGTTGTCAGAAACCCAAGATTAGTATAGTTAATGTGAAAGTTAGAAACTTACCAAATGATTTAAAGATACAACGTGGGCACCCTCTTCTGAGCTCCTAGAGACAATTTATTTCCAAGTTTCTTGTAGTTTTCATTTTTACTCCTACATTTTGGTTTATCGTTCGTTTCAACCGGACAACCTTTGAGTTCCCAAACAAGATTTGTTAAGGACTTAGGCCTACTTAGTTTTCTACATCGTTTTTCTGGCAATTTAGGTCCATTCCCTGAATCCCCTGATGTCCTTCCACCTGAGTGACTCGAATCTAATGTACCATCAAGTTCCATCGCTTGGTGAATGTTTGAAAGACTCTTGTATCTTATATTGAAAATAGGGGAATCCCCTTTAGTTAAAGGTCTTATTGGACTAGTTACAGGACTAGGTGTCTCCTTGGTTGGGGAATGACTTTTCTGACTGAACACCATTCGGCTTTTTGTGTTGCTTACGCCGTTCTTAATGTACAATTTAGGAAGATTGTTAGGAGCCGGTGCTATTGAACATTTCTCTTTATAAACTGTTATTGGTGTTTCTTTCGGTGTGATTGCGGTTTTGCGAGTTCGTTTCTCCGCCTTTTGTATGTTGAGGGGTTTCTTCGTTGGTATTGTTTCTATTGGTGGAGGTTCTGGTTTGATTTCTGTGATTAATGGCATATGAATTGGAGTGACGGCTGGAGATGCAGGTGCTGACTCGTGTCTTGTTGGTTCATTTGAATATGATGCTTTTATATTTTTCGGCAGAGGTGCAAATCCTCTAACATAGTCGTATATTTGATCTATTTCGTCTATGTATTCATCGGGAATGCTATTTTCATCTCTATGGCTACTGTATATGTGATTGTGACGTGCCATATGTTTATGTTGGTTAGCGTTATCAGATGACATACTTCGCCTTAAGAAGTAACCGGTTTTTATTAATGGTGGTGCATGTAACGGAGCGTTCAGAAGTCTTTTAGGATCACCTAATTTACCATCTAATACGTGTATACGATCGACTACTTCTACAAGCAAACGGTTGCATTTCTCAACCAGTCTCGAGAACTCCATAAAGTTTTTAATGTGCTCCTCATTTTTGCATCTTAACATTTTCAAAGGTGCTGCAAGAGGTAGAGCGACTAACGCGTTTCCTTCCTTTTGTAATGGCAATGCGAATACGTGATCCTCTTCGAAGAAAGATAGAAGTCTTAGTTCTGGAACGAAGTGACTGGCGCTCTTCAAACCTCTCGGCGGTGTTCCGTGTACTAATCTCACGGTTATCGGCAGTCGTTTAGTTAGTAGTGTCTTGGCCGTGTGCACTCCACTGATATTTTCCTCTTTGGCGACAGCAGAGAATTTTCCTCTCTGATCCAAACTTAGCAATATCATATCACCTTTCGTATCCGTACACTTTAAATATCTGCTTTTCCCTAAGAATGTTTCACCTCTCGGCATAATAACTTCACCAGCGGGTAAATTTCTGGCACCGTCAGCTGTTACGTTACCATCTAGATCTATCTTTGCACAAATGACTCTTACTGGCTCTCGTACAAGGCATCCGTCTTCTAGTTTCCTTCTTGCTAGCTCACTCACAGACTCAATACATCTGACGGCTCTTCCTTCCTCACTTAGTAGCTCAAAGTAGCCTTTATATGTCTCTGGTATAGCAAGTCTTGGACCGACACTAACCATTCTTCTTCCCTCTTTCAGTTTGATGGCTTGTGCGATAATCTTCTTTCTCTTTCCCGCGGACACGAGTAGAGCCATGCTCTGAAGTCCAGGACTGGGTAAAGTAGGTACCCCGAGTCCTCCATACTGGCCTTTAATGATTTTTGCTACGTTGGGTAATCGGTTCTTGACGACGAATTCTCTTAGGTAATGCCCCTCGTCTGCCCAGCGAGATGCTGCGACCACGACTTGCCCGTCCGTGGCTGCCATCGTGGGTAAGTCACATCTGAAACAAAGGAAATTCGCATATTAGTCACGTCGAATGATTTTTAGTCAAAAATTGCGTATGGACTTATGAGTAAGGAATGATTCGTTTAATTTTAGGACCAAATAAGCTTAGTAACAAGTTTATAACAACCAGAAATATATGCTACTTTGATTTCATTTATATAGAATGCAAATTTTTTGCCATATTTTGTAATATTTGATCTTGAAAAATGTTAAATTTGTACGTATTATTCCACATTTGTGATTGTAAGCGATAAAATCTAGATATTTAAAATTCCAAAGCAAGGAAGTCACAGTAAACTAACCGGTTGGAAAAATGTCGAATCTTATAATGATGGTTACGAGATTTTTCTGTGATTTGAATAAAAATAATTAAAAGATTGATATAGATAATTTATACCATCAAACAGATCAATTTGAATACGTCAATATAATCTGGTATTCACAAGATATCGACTAGTTTCTCATCTTACTAATATTATAAATACGAATGTTATAGGTGAATGGATGGATGTTTGTTTGAAAGTATCTTCAGAACGGCTGCATGGATCTCGCTGAAATTTGATATAGATGTAGAATATAGTCTGGTAGAACACATAGGCTACTAGTTATTATTTTTTTATACCGCGCGGACGGAGACGCGCGCAACAGCTAGTCTTATTCTTATTAATATTATAAATAGGAATGTTTGGATGGATGTTTGTTTGAAATTATCTACAGAACAGCTGAACGGATCTCGATGAAATTTGGCACTTATACAGAACATAGTATTGAAAAATACATAGTCACCCCTAGTTTAGGGTAGGCTTCAAGCCCCTAAGAGGGGACGTATGAGCTAATGATGATAATGACGAGAAACAAATGAGTGCGAATACAAAATGGAACACAATTAACGTTTGATAGTGTTCACGTATTGAGGTAAATTCATGAATTTGTTAACAGTCCGTTAAAAAAGCGATTAAGATTTAAATCAGACGAAAAACAAAGAGTTCAAACTGCGGTACATTGTGATCATAACAGTAAATTTGTAGGAAACATAGCAGAGTGACCATAATATTTGTTGTTCAGACCAATAAATTACTATAGTAAGAGTCTGTTACATGTCTGAGCTGACATGACTGCTAAAAGCATTGATAAAGTTGTATTCATACGCTTGGAGATTTAGCTTTTATATTATTGGTGTCATCATCATCATTAAGATTAGAATAATTTTGGATATAGATCAAGGAAAACATCGTGATGCTGCACATATCTGCGAATAAATTCATAGACATGTGTGAAGTCAACCCGCACTGGGCCTGTGGTTGACTATGTCATAGTCACTTCTAAATCGGGTAGGCTCAGAGTCCCTCAGTGGAGACGTATAGTGAGCTGATAATTATGTATACAGACTTTAGGGGATTGATTTTAGTGGTCGTAGTAATTCCACTAGAAACATATAGTTCAGTAAAGTTGTTGGCGCGTAACGCGGTATTACATCAATTAACTGCTATTGTTTGTGTACGTTGACCTTAACATTGCTGTATCAGGGTAGCCATTTCTTAGTCCATTTTTTTGGGATACATTCAGCATTTTTTTCCTATTACATTGCATCTTAGTTAAATTATTTAAATTTGGGTTTTTACTTTTCGAATTAAATTGCTGTTATTAAAAAAAAAACAGTAACCATATTAATTTAGTAATTTAAATATAGTAGAGCATTGTTAATTATTTTTAACTTGGTAATTTTTTTCAAATGTGTTTTAAAACGTAACTATATTTTATTAAATTTAAGGTTTCGGAATAACTAAACAAATACTTCTACTCGTGATATTTTATGGCCCTTAATATTTGTTTTTTTTATTTTCAAATATGTCGAGGTTTTGTTTTAATAAAAAAAATTATCTTCCTCGGTGTTTTTTTATGATTTTTGATTTAGGAATATCCTATTCACGTATAAAATATGGTCACAGTATAATGAAGTTACGATACAGTTTGTTTTATACGGAAAATGAGTTGCATAAGTTGGCCGAGACGAAGGTCGTTCACATATGAGGATTTGTGTAGACCGTGTGTCGACCCCTTAAACTTTACACCATGCGAAAGTGATATTCGAAATACCGTTTTATACCTGCATTGAGGTTAGAAAATTAATGTTTAATTTCTCAATAAATTTTATGAAAAAATGTGTTACTTTGATGTTTTTTTTTTACGTTTAAATTGAGTATTATCGTTCAGTTAATGCAGGGTTCTGTATTACATTTAGATGTAAGTTTTATCTATACTAGTATTATAAAGAGGAAAGATTTTTTGTTTGTTTGCATTGTCACTGTTGAGAAGCTACAGTATCTCCAGGTGACATAGACTATATCACTAGATATTTTTTTAATTCCGCGCAAATGAAGTCGCTTACAATTGCTAGTACCTAATACAAGTTTTATAAGTGTAAACGAAAAGATTACAATCCATCAAGATCAATTATAACGGCCTATCTAAAGATATTGAAACTCTTTAATAATTATTATAGGTTACTCTAAAAACATAAATACTTGATCTATATGTAAACTTATTTTTTATCTTATTTTATCTTAATTTACGAATTAATTATCTCACTTCTTACTAATATTATAATATAAATGCGAATGTTTTGATGGATGTATGTTTGTTTGAAGATATCTCCAGAAAGGCTGAACGGATCATGATGAAATTTTGCATAGATATAGAACATAGCCTGGAAGAACATATATGCTATTTATTTAGTTTATTTTTCATTCCGCGCGGACGTAGTCGCGGGCGATAGCCAGTACATCATAAAGATTTGCTTTTATTAAGTTTAATCCCAAGTCCATCGATTAACTGTTATTTCGAAGTAATATTATCAAAGAATATCAAATCTAAACTGAACGGAATCATCTTGTATTTGCGTCACGATAATTTGTGAAATATATATTTTTTTTAATACTTCTGCCGACTGTACATCACGATTCTATCGCACGATTAAGTCTATTGTGCTTGTTGAGATAATATTGCGTCTAACTGTACTCGTTCGGTTTGTAGACAAATAAGGAGGGTCGTGTTGGGCCATAGAATCAGTGAGTAATTTATTAAAAAATTATTATGATTATTATTATGATGAACCGCGCCAAATACGAGGTCTGTGGTCTCTGCCTATCCCTTTGGGTTACATGCGTTATGTTGTTATATTACGATGAATGTACACCTGTATTATAACATATTGAGATATGATTTTATCAGATTTGTTTTACAGATATGTTTTTATCAAATGTTTCGATACTGCTACGGCTATGGAAGTTAAATTTCTTTAGGCGCATGAGAGAATGAGAGGGTAATGATGCCACGAAATAGTCGCGTACACCGAGACAGTTATCGCACAGGATAATTCCTAATAAGCCATGAAATTCATCAACTCCTTGACCTTAAACCACTCACGTGGAATCAGGACTAAAAGTTTTATAAACCGTGAAGTGTTGGCTCAATTTTTACAGCCGTTTGCCTTTCGTCAACCATACTTACGCATTATATTTAATTCACCTGAAAATAAACCTATCTTCATATCAAGATTCAAATAAGATGATTTAAACAAATTTCAATATAAATCAGATTTAAAAATAAAATAAAATAAAATATTATAAGCTTATAAAAACGCTTATTTAATGGCCGTAACAAACGAGTTGCGTTTGATAGACCGCTACGTCGGTTTCCCATGATACTTACACCAGTTGATTTGTCCTGCGCCAACCTAATCAGGAATTGTTATGTTTATGACAAGCATTACTATTATGGGAACGACTTTTTTCCATAGCTTTAAAAATGAACTTTATTATACATTGTGATGTAGTCTTCTAACCAATAAAGACACTTGGTAATCGATGTTAATTTCTATACTAAACTAAAGTACACATTAGGTTTGTATTAAGAATAATTTAGTAATAGTTAAAAGGTTAAATTATCGTCGAGAATTAAATATTAGTGTTTAGATGCATGGATGGATGTTTCTTATGTTAGGAAGAAAATCTGGAAATGAGTCAGTGTATTGACTCAACACTAGCTTTACTAAAATGTCAACGTTTGTGTACCATTCATTCCGACACTAGACTTTGTAACGAAAGCACGTCATTCGCGCCACAGGATTGTTATTAATTAATGTCTAAAACTTCGAAGGTACCTTCAAAACGGCTGCATGTATCTCGCAGAAATTTATCATAGATGTAGAACGCATGGAAGAACACATAGTCTAATTATGTTTTTTACGTTTTAATTATTATATAAAGAGACAATGAAGGCGGTTAATTGTATCAAAAAAAAAAATCCGTCCCTTAAATGAGATTCTGGCGCCTACAGCGTCGCCTTATGCTTGACGCCCAGCTAGGTTAGCCCACCTTTCCCTACCCTAACGCCGCTACTGCGTTCGTTGTCTCCGCCCTACATGCTATAGTTTAACAATTAGGTGGCCAATTGTTTAAAACTAGGGCATCTTTAACCGGTCCTGTTACAATTGACAATTGAACTCTGTTACCATTTACGAATTAAGTAAACACTTAGAGAAAACACGGCGTGAATAATCATCAATGCCGGTCCGGATTTCACGGCAGTAATTCTAACGAAATACAACGAACTGGGAATTTGAACTTTAAGTATTAGTGTTAGAGTTCACTTTGGAATGATTTGTTAATATTTTTTTTTATCGTCTAACGGTAATTTTTACATAACACAGTATCATTAATTGTGTTGTATGGTAAGAGAGGTGTGGATACAATGGTACGGAACTGTTTTTTTTTTGTAGTAGAGAAAGCAGTCTGAATGTTTCCATTGTACTTTAAAATGTAGAGTTACAAATAGACAAGATGCGACAGAAAGAGCAGACAGTATTCATCCTCTTTGTTAAATAGTGGAAGGTTGAAATGAATAATGGTGAGTTTGACGGAATAAGGGAATTGGTATGGGAAATATTGTCTTTCTGTGTGTCACCTTTACGTCGGTTAATAGTAGGCAACGCAT